TCCCCGCAGCCGCAGGGACACACGCCGCCCCCCCGATTCGCCTCCCCCGGAGCCGCGTCCCGCAGAAGCCCCCGGTCCCACCCCGTCTCCCCAAACCGCGGGGGCTCCGTGGGACACCCCCCCAAACCCAGGGGTCCCGCAGAGAAGACGGGCCGGGAGGAATGAGGGGGAGCAATGACTCTTTAATAAATTAGCAAAATAAACAGCATTTTTATACATATATATATGTATAATATGTTACTGCATCGCAGCAGATCACACGAGTTAAGCAGAAACGTTGATTGCCCGGTTTGATGCTGACACTGATCCAAAGGTATCCGTGCGGGTGCCCACGGGGGCACCTAAAAACCTAAAACCACTTAGAAATAAAAGAGCTTTTTTGTAAGCCAGAGACACAGCTTCTAACGAGAAAGAAGTTAAATTACCGTATGATTTCATCCCGCTGTCTCCTTGCAGAAGTGATTAAAAGTGATCCGTTTTTTCCCCCTCTTAAGAAAAAAAAAAAAAGTATTACCTCAAAGGGAAGGGGGAACGACTGAGCACAGGTAATGCGTCGGGAGGATCATCTGTTATACTAAAAACGGATGCGATTTGCAGTGTACAAGTCTCTGATTCTGATGATAACCAGGAGCTGAACTGATCAGGTAATTCCATCGTGCGTCAGTTGACCCCGAACGGGGCAAGTGCGTGGCGAAGTCCGGTGGCCCCGAGGGCGGCTCAGTCATCGTCCCTGACGTACTGCCCTGCCTCCCAGCGCTGGGCCATGGCGCTCTTGTGGCGAGTCACTCTGGTGCTTTCCACAACCTACAGAAACCAGAAGGCGCAGGATCTTTTTATAAAGAAGGTATTTTTATAAACAATCCTTTTTTTGCACGGCTTGCCCCCCCCACCACCAACCCCCTCCCCCCCCTTCGGGTTAAATATGCCCGACAGCGGCCACGGCACGTCCTGCCCCACGCGACGCCCGTGGCCCTCGGGGAGCCGAGACCCCCCGTCCACCCCGACGGCACCCAGGACCGGGGAGCGCGGGCAGCGCGTGAGGGACTTTACCTCCGTGTTGATCTTGTCGACGGGTTCAATGCCTGCGTACTGCGAAAAGGGGGAAAAAGGTTCAGACTGCAGCAACCTCATGGGGAACCACCCAGCGGCAGCGGACATGGGGCACAGGGGGTCAGACCGCCGGGCAGGGGAGACAGCCGTGCCCTCATGCCCTCCCTGGAGTGGGGGACGGTTTGGCCAGGAGCCCCCTCCCAGAAAGCTGCTGCTCCCCCGCAGTCCCACCCCACGCCGGCAGCCCTGAGAGGGATCACTGCCCCGAGGGGCGCCTCGCCGGGGCCACTGCCGCCGGGT